ATAGAATCTATGGGAAAAGGTTGACGGAATAACTCTGATTAACATTCCAAGCACAACGGTGAAGGAGGGTGAGGGAGTGAGAAAGCCAGCATGGGGTGTGAAGTTTTTATAAAAGCCATTTGAAAGAGCACGCCATACCACATCTAACTAACTAAGAAATTGTGCTAGGGAAGGGGTGATACGAGGATATAGGATTGACGAATAGCCCAGGGCAGGAGAGATACTACAATTTTTTAACAGACAATTTGTTAAAGGATCGGCTTCACTTATCTCTTTGACGAGTTATGGTGTCGTGGGTAGAATGGCAAGGCTCACTGACGATGCCGGCGAGACGTCCTGGAATGTATCACGTCGACGGTCCGACTCTGGAGATTACCATGCATGCTATGAACTCCGGACTAGGCGTGCTCCCATAGATCTCCCTATAATATTACCAAATTGAGAAAGCAAGGTCAAACAACCCCTAAATCTACGTAAATACAAAACGTCGGCTATATTGATTAAACTTGAACAAAAACACGAAGTTGACACAAATATAAATGTCTAACTATAATTTTTACAAGATAATCGATAAATGTCGCGAGCTGCTTTAGGGATTGAGCCAACTCCCTACCCACAATAGATCCGGGCGGAGCTACTATCTTGAGCATAATGGTTGCCAGGCCAATACGTCATTCCCTGAGCCAATTAACTCTAGAGCTATTAAATAGCAGGTTCCATAAGGATTCTGAATAAAATTATTTCCCTATTTATTCAAGCAATTAGTTATATGTTCACATACGTGGGATATATTTGCTATTCAAATGCCATAGACGAGTCTGTAACGGTTACGGGGACTGAGCCCGTCTACAGGATTGAATCATATCGTCCCGGACAGGAGGCAAAGGCTTAACTCTATCTCCAGCCCATCAGATTGTCCACAGAAAAAGAGGCAGATGACCAAAAAGTTGAGGAAGATTATGGGACAGGTAGTAAAAAAGATGGACTCGACATTCCCCTAGATCTAATACCTAAGTCTAAATATTTTTCCTGTTTTAATTCAGCTTTCGAATTTACAATCACTTTATAATCTGTTTCTAATCCTAGATCACAGATAAATAATTTAGACTTTTTTGTCACAATAACGTGATTTTTTCGAAAATTACTGAAAGTACAAAAGCCGAAAATTGAAAATACTACATTTTCGACAACATAAGTTTGCCAACTTGGTAATACAACATTGTTACAATATAAAAAATTGACAAGTGGTTAGGCGTTATTCTTCAGTCGAAAGCAACGAGTACCTAATATCGTTAAATACCCATTCACGGATATCCTCAAAATAGCAAGTGGGATTAGAAGATGTTTTCCTCGAGTATGTGCTGCTATGATGAAAAAGCCTGACATAAAATGCCTCCGCAGATAAGTTGAAGCAGCTAAATGATAGGGCGGGGTTAGGAGGGAGATGTAAGTGGGCACTAGTAAGGGACCTTTACCAAAGCCAGGGCAAAATAAGGTTTAAGGAGTTGAAAATGGCGCAGAGCAGTGAGAGTCAGATATACAGCAGCCCATGGCTTATGGCCTCCATACCAGAGGCATACAGCAGAAGTCATGACAGAAGCCGTGTTAACCCCAAACGGACACAGAAATAGACGGTTACGCTAGTATAGTGCTACTCAACGGAATGTACAAAGCTTTCGGGCTACGAAAGACGTGCGTCTAGAATGCCGGAGTAGGAAGATAAGGTGCATGCCTATTGTTGGCCTACGAACTTTCAATCGTAGGCTAACTCCGAAGGTTGCTGTTCCATACATAATTATAGACTTTATAAGCAAAAGAATATATTTAAAATCCCACAAAATATTTAGAAATGTGTACAGGCAGCATAGGGATTCTAGAGATAAAAAGAATAAACTTGAAGCAAATAAAATGTACAGATTAGGTCTGTCTTAATCACGATAGTCAATCGCTAAAACACTTCGTCAGTGGAATGGGAGATTTTGTGGATATGAAAAACAACTTGGATATCAAAAATGCAGGTCTACTTGGATGTTGTGCAGAATGTTTAGGGGCGAGATCAGAGATGTTTTTGCATCGATAAATGAAAACAACGAAGATATCCAAAGAAGTAATGCATTCTAGATGTATGCTATATATATATATATATATATATATATATATGAAAATGATCACATTCATAAAATCAGTACGTAAGTAAGTGCATAATAGAGTCAGGCAAGTGACGCAAATAAATCCAGAGTAATGAATCCAGACATGAAAGCTGGACCTAAAGTAGAACAGTCCTAGAGCACAGATGAATAAATATGTTGGTCCAAACTATTGAAGATAATAGGTTCCGGAGATTTAGAACATAGTAGTTCGAAATGCAAGCAGTCCAGGCTACTCAGGGCTTGATTCATTCTGAACTGGGGTCTTTGGTAGATCAGCAGCTGAAAGTACATCCGACTTAACGACCTCATTAACTGATGAAATTGGTGGAGATGAATCTTCCTTCCCGGTAGTAAATTTTTCCACTCCCGTTGGAACGTTGCAAACTGTAACAACCTCGTCCGAATCTTCAACTGTATCTACTGAGCTCAATAAATTCATTAAAGAGCAATCAAGCTCTGAGACTTCATTAGACTGGTGGTTACTGGTAACTGTGAGGTTGCCAGGAGGGCTAGTTAGCTGGTCAGACTTGGTGATGCCCACGAGTTCTTGGCCTATGTTCAGCCCATCCTCGCCTAAAGTGGAAGAGAAGAGAGTATGAGACACTGTCGCGGTTGGATCCAGATTGTAGTAAGCGCCATGGTAGGCCGGAGTTGTGAAAGAGGTGTTCAGAGCGGAAACAGAAGCCGTAGGGTCGGAGGAAGCCTGAGCAAAGGAAAGGCCAGAGTAAGTGGCTGCCAAGCTCAACGGGGTTTGAAGGTCACTCAGTGATGCTGGAGAGGCAATAGTTGCTGAAGGTAAGTAGAGTTGCACGGGCTGAAACTAGGGCGGGTAGAGAAAAGAAGTAATAGTAAAGAAGCAAGAACCATAAGTAATTGTCTGAGGGGTTTACGGGACTGCAACTAGAATATGGGGCAAAGCATAGTCAAACCCATAAATTAGGATGATAAAGGGAGTAATTAGAATACTGGTAGTCAAGTGACTAAGTGAAAATAAGACATTCCCAACCCATATATTTGGAAATATATTTAGGATAGCGAAAAAATGCCGCCAAAGAGTGCCCACGAGAAATGTACCGATGAATGTAGCTAACGTAAGAATCCATTTGGGATAAGATTTTAGCAGTAATCTAAACTATATTCGACATCGAAAACGACTATCGTTCGGTCCATTCCAATGCCAACTAATTGAACCATCTCAATGGAAAGACTGAAAAACGTGAAATATCATGCTCTTTATCAAATAGGACATTAGGAAGACAGTTTAATGTAAAGGTGAAATATCACTATGATGTTACTGAAAGTTTAAGATATGATGATTGCCAGCCTCTTACAAATGAGAAACTAGAGCAAGATAAACAGTTTGTGTATGATATCATGAAAATTATGGTCTCATACCCTGAAGACAAAACATAAAAATAGGAAACTCAGCCCTTGAGATTATATCCTTGTGCAGAGACTATAGAATATAAAAACAATAAAAGGTATCAATTCGAATCATAAAAGTGTGAACATTGGTATATAGTGGCATATTATTTTGGGCTCCAAAAACCTACTGATAAATTATGCATAAAATGACTATGTTCAGGGGTATAAAAGTGAAATTCAAACTTAAAAGAGATCTGGAAACGGAAAGGATAATACGTTTAAAGATGATTGAGTTTTATTGAGCAACTTTGTGGTCAGATGGAAAAATAAAAGTTACTCCCAAAAGCAGGATGCCGTTAAGGCCTGGGCGAAGCGAAATTGAAGTCCACCCTTGATGAGTATACCTTTTTGGAAGAAAGGTACCTGGTGCCTGAGAGTTAATGGTATCGTGAGGCCTACTCAAAACATAATGAGAAAACTTAATTATCAGTCCTTCATCAACTTATGCGACCTATGGTGAAGCTCTTAGTAAATATCTCTTGGTAGTCTTGAAATTCACTTTAGATCAAAATTGCTGTAATTAAATTAAACTTTATGATCCGTAACACCGCTTTCTGGACCCAATAAAGTGACATGTAAAGGATCAACCAAAACAAACCATATTTGAAAAAATAAGCCTCTAGCAGTGCCTCTGGCATAATGGACGAAGTTCTAAGTAAATGAGGACAGTACGGATAATCAAAGGTAAAATTCAATACGAAATAAGCTAACCAAAATTAATGAAATGACAAT